TGACGAGGCAAGCGTTCCACCTACGGTTGCAGCGAGCCTGCAAAATCATACAGCAGCAACGAACAGTCCTCCGGCGACAGAAGACGAAAGGCCCTCCCTTCAAGCACGTCTTCAAGGACGTGGACATGAGCAAAGTCGGAAGCCACTCCTTGAAGCGATCAGCCCAAGTCTTTGATTGCGTAGACCTCAGCAACATCGGCACACACACCTGGAAGCGCTCGTCTATTACGCTGCTGAAGCAGAAGTGCACCTCTGCAGCTGTCCTGCAATCGATCAGCGGCACGGACCCGCGCACTTTGGACCGTTATTACGATGAACCAACCGCTGCAAGGCAAGTAGAAGCACTGGAAGCGTTTCAAGAAATCTGGGGCCCACTCGAGAAGCGGGAGCCGTCATCAGACGCCAAAGCCCCTGACAGAGGTCAAGACGCCTATTTGTTCTGTCCTCGTTGCGGCAAGAAACGTGCAGACTTGGCATGGGCAGTGTGTCCCTGGTGCTGCTTCCAATTTCCTCATGTGGGAGAGACTAGCACCCGGCACAGCAAATGAAAGCCTCAGACCCGAAGCGCCGGCTGTGTGCGGACGCTGATGTACAGCACGCACACCTGGCCAGAGACCAAAGGGGCTTGTTGTGCATGACACGTGTAAAGAGATCGCAGAATGCGCGCGGCAGTCAATGCAAACTACTTTCTTCGCACTTGTGAAATGCACTCACTTGGCAAAAGTTCGCATGCTGCAGAGGGAGGCACACTGACACAACAGCTGTCGTTTTCAGCGTTTTTGGGGCTGCGGCTTGCTGATGCACGAGTGAATACTACGCTTGCAGGCTTTTCAGAATTCAGGTTTCGGGGTTCTGAGCTATATTCCAGGTGCCTATTCGAAGTGAGTCGGGCACTCAGCTCATGTCTCAGCTCGGGAGCGTTTTGGATTCACTTAGTCAGTGCTTCCCAGATCTGCAGCTGGACCTAGTAGCACGGGAGCCCAACAGTTCTCGTCATCACTGTCAGTGTCTGTCTCCACAGGAACGAAAAAATCTCGAGCCTCCAGCTCTGTAAAGAAACGGCTCACTTGGGCCTTCGCGGCTTGGACCAAGGCCATCCAGTCGCACATCTGGCTGTACAGCAACAACTCCGGCTTGTCTGCGAGGCTCTCAGGTGCGCCCAGGAGTTGCACATGCCGCTCGTGAGGCTCCAAGCCTGTGCTCAGGACCCTTGCCGAGACCGCTTCCAAGCCCTTCTCCTTCATGCTGGCCAGCTTCTCCGAGGCTTGGAGAATCTTCTTGAGGCCGGCACCTTGAAAGTCCAGCATCCAGCGATGGCTTTTAGGCACGGATTCACCAGACGCGCGGCGCAAACGTGCACTGACGGCTCGCCGCTTCATGTCCAACGTACCCCGTCGGTGCTTTTTGGCTGGCTTCTTCCTCACTTTCTCGCGACCCATTCTGCCCTAGCAGTAGCACGCGTGCAAGAGAGGAACTCCAAGGGAGAGCAAGGCTTTGAGCCCGCAATATTGCAGGACTGGCACCACTGCTGCAATCCATGCGTGAGGCCACAAGCTGACGGCACATGAAGGTTGCACCTCTGCGGATCCTGAGACCTGGGCGCAGAAGTAGGCAGAGCTTCTCAGAGGAATCTGCCATCAACAAACACAGACACAACCATGTTCGTGTGCCTCATGTATTCGTGTTGCATATGCTGTGTTCCCAAACTGCAGAGGCAAATGAAGGGGAAAACTGAGACACCAATGCATCGACTGAGTGAGCGAGCGAGTGGCTGAGTGGCTTGGTGAGCGGCTGAGTGAGTCAGTGAGTGAGTGACAGAGTCACTGATGGGTGCACACGGCCTCATGAAACGACTAGACTGCGGGCTCAGGCCGGCACCGTCTGATGTTTTCAGATCCTGCCACACGGCATCTAGTCGTGACAACTTATACATGGTAATGCAGGATGCGAGAAGACTGCATCGCAGCTCGGGCTTGTTTGCAACATACGGGCACACAAGCTCGACGAGGGCTTGCAAGGTCTGTGCGAGAATGGCATCCCAGCAGGCAAACTTTGGGACCCGCGAGTGGCATGTTAAGTGGTCTCAATGCCTTTTATATCTTAGAAGAGGATGTTCATGCGCAAGTGCATCGTACAAGACTACATGCCGCTAGCCGGTCAGTCTGCAAAACGCGGATTGGAGAAGTCTTGAAAATCAGCCTTTCTTGAGCTTTGCAGCTGCCAGCATAGCCTGGAGCTTGTCACCCAAATCAGAGGTTCCGGTTTTCGGGACCGGCGTCGGCTGGCCGTCTTCACCACCCTTCTTGGGTCCAGGCTTCGGCTTGGTCTTCGCGGCTGGATCCTTCTTCGGTGCCTCCGGCTTGAGCTTCTTGTTCGGCGCGGTCGTGGCCTCGGTGGTACCATACTCGTTGGCATAGGCGACGGAATAGACCTTGCTGTTCGGATCGCTCATCTTGTCGATGAAGGCTTTCTTCACCCGCGTGGCAATGAGCTCACGTTGAAAATCAGAGTGGCACACTCCGACGTAGCCACGCCCTTCCAGCACGGAGTCAATGGCCAGGTCCCCCGTGGCGGGGGTCAAGTCGATGACGACTTTGGCCCAACACATGTGACACAACGAGTCTGCCACCAATCTGGGCGGCTGGTGCCAACAAATCGGCTGCATCACCGTGTCCGCCATGGTCTTCCCACTGCCTCTCCCCTGGCCCACGGCCGGCACCTCCACCAAATCATCAGCCGCCTCTGCCGCTTCAGCGCTCACAGCGACAGCGGCATCACCGGAGCTCCCAGCACCGCTGACATCGGGCTCTGGCTCAGAGGCATCGGAGGCCTCGGCGTCGGAGGATGACAGCGAGCCGGCGCCGCTCTCAACTGTAGGGCCTCCCACGGCTCTGCGCCGTGCTTCCCAGAACGTCCGCTTGTCGGCCACCGACAGCATCGGAAGGCTGCTGACTGCAGGCCACGAGAAGGGGCCTAGCGTGGATGCGAGATTGGTCATGCCCTGGAAGTGCTTGTGCGGCCGCTTCGCCAGCTTGGTCAAGCCGCTGTGGAAGATGAAAGCCTTCTGCGCACAAGAGACCGTGTCGGTTTTCAGCTTCTGCCGGAAGCGTCTGGCAAGAGCTGAGGCCTCCGTAAAATGTACAATGAGCTCCCGAGCCACCACTTTGCCATCTTTGTGCTTTCGCGATTTGTCTAGCCTCACCCGATCAGCCCCCATCTGGAAGAGATTCAAGAGCGAGGTGGAGCGTCGTCTCCCCCCGTCCAGTATGACCAGGCAGTCCCCTGGTGGGAGGATGCCCTGAGTGTCTTTGTCTTCGCGGAGATTCTTCACTGCCGAGTAGAGCTTTTTCACGGTACTCTCTTGGAGAGGAGGCATACGCAGATGCGGCGCAGTGATGGATTCACCGTAGGTGTTGCTGTCGAAATATACCAGCACGGTGCCGCTGTCGGTGCCCTTGCACGTTGCCAAGGAGTGCGCCTCCAACGCACTCCTCAGCTGGCTTTGGCTCAGGCCCTTCTCGGTCACTAGGACCAAGGACTTGGCCAGGGCCCGGTCGACGTAGGCCATCCAGCCTTCGTCTACGGTAGCTAAGTCCACGCCGGTCTCATTCACCGAGATAAGCTTCGGCACAATGCTTGTTGCATCCGCGGCAGCTGCCTTGGGCTCTGCAGCGATGACCTGGCCTGCATCACCAAGAGCCGTCGAGGCTGCGCCAGGTGCCGCCAGCTCCTTGTCGATCTCTGCGATCAGTTTCTGCCACGGATTGTATTCCTCCGCGATCTCTTGGGGGGTCTTGCCCTGCTTGATCCCCGTCTTCATGATGTTCGCATCGCCATGATCGAAGTTGAAGCAGGCACCTTCAATGAGCTCCACGATGTGACTCACCGCAGTGGGCCATGAGGACAGCTGCGAGCGGTCCTTGATCAGAAAGCTGTCTCTGTAGACGGTCGGATTTTGGAAGATCTCGCGCAGCTTCGCCTTGTAGTCGGCATCCACAGACCGGGTGTCAAGGAATCTGCCCACGAAAAACTCCTTCATGCCTTTTTTGCACAGAAACACTTCCAGCAGACTGATCTTGCCCGACCCCGGCTTCAGCAGCGGCTTCCGTGCAAGCTCTGAAGGCTCCAAGGTCTCCATGGCCATCACCGTCTCGATGCTTTGGAAGATCCACAGTACCCTCTGGGGAGTTTTGCATTTGTAGTGCACCTCCAGGAGGTTGTTTATCGCATTGAAGGGGGATCTGTCGTTGTAGTATTCGTCCATGCGTTGAATGATTGCGCGCACTTCCGGGAGGACGAGGACATGTTCGTAGACGGTCACTGCCTTTTCAATGAGCTTTGGATCGGAGCGCGGCTCGTCGTCGTCTTCGACTCCGCTCATGTGTTGGGCATAGAAGTCCGCGATCTCTTCATAAGTGAAGCTGCGCGCATGCTGCGCCTCCAACCTTTTCTTGAAGAGCCAGACGTCCGCCGCGACTTGGCTGGCTAGATGACACACTGCCTTGGACTCGTCCTTCACTCCGCGCCTGAAGTTCACGCCCCAAAAATAGGCGTCGATGGAGGACTCCGCCTTGACGATCCTGCCTGAGGCAGAGAACATGACCTTGAGCCAAAGCTGGAGCTCATCCTGGCTCGCGCCGGCTCTCACTCTCCGCGCCACGGTCACCACCAGTGCCTGTACCGGCTCTTCAGGGCTCACCCTTTCCAAAGCCCCGCCGCTCACAATCCTGAAGTCCACAGGATCCCGAAGCGGGCGTGGTCCAGAGCTCCACTGGTTCTTCATCCAGCGCTCCAGCGCCATCTTATTGACGGCCACTGTTCCCGTCATCGTGGTCAAGGGCGAGTCCCACAAGACGTTCACGCCTCCAGATGCCAAGACTTGCCCAGTCCAAGCCCCATCCGCCAGCCTGGTCTTCGCCAGCCCGAGGTCCAGGGGTGCCGCGAAGCCGTCTTCCTCGGAGAGCGCCGGCCGCTGCTTCAAGTCGACGCCGAATGCCCCGCGGAGCACGTCCATGGACTCCTCGACCTCGGCATGCCACGCAGCATTCGGATTGTAGAATGCCGGCAGGCTGTAGCTTGTCTCTGCAGCCCCGGCTTTCTTGGACTTCTTGTCCTTCTTGGGAGGCATGACCCAGACACAAGTGGCCAAACCCAAACGCGAACCAGCTGCAAAATCTCGCGGAACATGCAAGGTTAACTGAGCGGACCAT